TCAGCTGTCATAAACTTAAGCCCTGCTAAAAATTTCTCTTCCAAATTGTTACAGCAACTCTTAAAGCAACACTTCCTCATTCTTCTGTCTCAAACCCACTTTCTTGAGTCCTTGGCCCTAGTAACTCAAGTAAGCGGATTTCCTTTTTCTCAGCAAGTTTTAGTTGCAACCCTCTAATTTGTTATTAAAAAAAAATCAAATAGTTTATATAGTATTAGAATTAATTATTCCTTAATTCTTGGTAGACCTCACTTGTGAATCTATCTGGTCCTAGGAATTTTTTCTTAGGGAGTTCATTTATGGCTTGTTTAATTTCTTTGTCTAAAATAGAGTTATTTAAGTAATCTATTTCCTCTTCTGTTAATCTGGGCAATTTATATTTTTGTAAATATTCATCCATTTCACTTAGATTGTTAGATTTATTGTCATATAATTGGGCAAAATAGCTCCTAATAATTGCTTTAATTTCATCTTCATTGGTGATAAATTCACCCTTTTCATTTTTGATACTAATTTTACACTTCTTTTGTGTGAGATAATTTTCTCATTCTACCACTCCTTTCCCCCTTCTTCCAGTGGATCCCTCTTTCTCACCCCTTAATTTAATTTTTTAAGTCATCTCATCATAATCAACTCACACTCATGCTCTATGTCTATGTATACTCCTAACTTCCTTAATAATGATAATTCTTAGAAGTAACAAGCACCATCTTCCCATGTAGGAATGTAAACTATTTAACCTTATTGAATCCCCTGTGATTTCTCTTTCATGTTTACCTTTTCATGCTTCTCTTGAGTCTTGTACTAAAAGTCAAATTTTCCATTCAGCTCTGGTCTTTTCATCAGGAATGCTTGAAATTCCTTTATTTCATTAAATATCCATTTTTTCCCCTTAAGGATCCTACATAGTTTTGCTGAATAGGTTATTTTTGACTGTAATCCTAGTTCCTTAGCCTTCTAGAAGATCATATTCCAAGCCTTTTGATCCTTTAATACAGAAGCTGCTCCACAAATTTTTTAATTAATATTTTTATTTATTTTTAGTTTTCAACATTCATTTCTATAAGATTTTGAGTTCTAGATTTTCCCCTACCCCTTTCAAGACAGTGTGCAATCTAATATAGGCTATACATGTGCAATCATGTATTTCCACATTAGTCATGCTATAAAGAAGAATTAGAACCAAAGAGAAAAGCCGTGAAAAAGAAGAAACAAAAAAGAGAGAGAGAGAAAATAGTATGCTTTGATCTGCATTCAGACTCCCTAGTTCTTTCTCTGGACGTGGATAGCATTTTCTATCATGAGTCTTTTGGAATTGTCTTAGATTCTTGCATTGCTGAGAAGAGCTAAGTCTATCAAAGTTGGTCATCACACAATGCTACTATTACTGTGTATAATGTTCTCCTAGTTCTGCTCACTTCATTTAGCATCAGTGCATGTAAGTCTTTCCAGGTTTTTCTGAAGACTTCCTGCTCTGCTCATCATTTCTTATGGAACAATAGTATCCCATTACATTCATATATCACAATTTATTCAGTCATTCCCCAGTTGATAGGCATCCCCTCAATTTCCAATTCTTGATGGCTCCACAAATTTGCATTGTTTCTTTCTGGCTGATTACAATATTTTCTCCTTGACCTGATAGCTTTGATAATTTGGCTATAATATTCTTGGGAGTTTTCATTTTAGGATCTCTTTCAGGAGGTGATTGGTAGTTCCTTTCAATTTATATTGCATCCTCTGGTTCAAGGATATTTCCTTGTTAATTTCTTGAAATATGATAACTTGACTCTCTTTTTGATCATGGCTTTAAGGTAACCAAATTTAGATTAAATTTATTCATTTAATTAAATTTAAGGTAATCAAATAATTCTTAAATTCTTAAGTTCCCTCTCTTTGATCTATTTTCTAGGTCAGTTGTCTTTCAGCTGAGATATTTCACATTTTTGTCTATTTTTTTATTCTTTTGATTTTGTTTTATTGTGTCTGATATGCATAGAGTCATGTTTTCATTTGCCCAGTTCTAATTTTTAAGGTTTTTTTTCAGTGAGCTTTTGTACCTCTTTTTCCATTTGACCAATTCTGCTTTTTAAGGAGTTCTCTTCAGTGGATTTTTGTGTTTCCTTTACCATTTGGTCAATTTTATTTTTTAAGATGTCATTTTCTTCGATATTTTTTGTGACTCTTTTACCAAGCTGTTGACTCTCTTTTCATAATTTTATTGCATTACTCTCATTTCTTTTCTCAATTTCTCCTCTTACCTATCTTACTTTATTTTTAAAATGCTTTTTGAGCTCTTCCAGGAATTCTTGTTGGGCTTGGGTCAAGTTCACATTTTTCTTTGAGCCTTTGTACACAGTCATTTTGACTTCATCGTCTTCTGAGCTTGTGTCCTGCTTTTCCCTGTCAGCAGAGTGACTTTCTATAGTCATGTTCCTTTTTTCTTTTTTGCTCATTTTCCTGCCTATTTTGTCACTTGGTGTTTTTATGTGAGAGTTAGGCTTTGTTCCAGCGATGGACTGGGCACTGTCCCAAGCTTCAGGCCTTTCTTGCTACTGTTTTCAAAGCTAGCTCTGGAGGCATGTAAATTTTTGGTTCTTCCAAGGTGGTATGATCTAAGGAGAGGTGTGGTCACTGCTTTCCTGACATGTGCTCTGGTCTGTGAATGACCATAAGCACTCTTCTCTGCCCAGGAACTGTGACTCAGGCCCTTGCTCTCCCATGGCCCCGAGAGCTAATGCACTAGTGTTCTTCTTCACTCTGGGACTGTGACCTGGAACTGTGTATGAGCAGTGCAACAGAGTCCTACATCCAAAGGCAGCAAAGGGTCCCCTATAATCTCCATCTGACTAGTTTGACCCCCTTACCATCTCTGGGCTGAGAGCTCTTGAAGCTGCTGATGCTGCTGCAGCCACCTCCAAGGCCTGTTCCTGGCTTGCTGGGGCTGAGGCTGGGCCTATGCTGCATTGTGTTCCAGACCCAACCACCACCCAAGTGACAGACCTTTCCTGCTGACCTCCTAAGTTATCTTAAGCTGGAAAATTTTACTCTGGCATTTTGTTGGTTCTGCAACTGCAGGATTCAGTTTTTGAGGCATTATTGCAAAGTTGTTTGGAGGGGAATATGGGAGAGTTCCAGTGAGTTCTTGCCTTTACTATGCCATCTTAGTCTAATTTTTTCTTAAGAAGCAGATTAAGCCCTGCTAAAACTTCAGTCTTTCAAATTGCTGCAGAAACTTTTGAAAGCAAATGCAAGAAATCATGGGTCATTTTTTGCTCCTCACCTGGGGAGAACTTGACGAAGGCCTGTGATTTTGACTGTCTCTCCCTTCAGGGTTGTTACCAGCAATCTTCCAAAGCCCTAATTGAGGGCATTGGAGACCCACACACTGCACCCCCCAGATTCATCTTCCCTTAGAAACTCAACTGTTAAAATTGATGGTGACAAACATCAAATGACACCCTCTCTTAGTAGATGAGAAAAATTAAGCCTAGAAAAGTGGTGACCCACATAAGGCCACCTGGTGAGTCATGAGCATGTCCAGGAGTAAGCCATGCTCCCCTTCCGTGTCAATCTCTTTACACTACTACTGGATAGTAACAAGTGAAACTTAACATGACTGACTTTGTTTCACTGAGAAGTAGTCTGTTAAAATAATATTCTCAGTTTTAAAAAGCCAGACAATCATATTAGTGAAACATCTGCTTGGATCCTCATCTCCCCTCCTAGAGGCAGACAGCATTCTTTTTTGATTTTTCAACTGATTTTGGAACACATTATTATTTTTCAAAACATTATTGTTTTTCCTCTAGATATGTGATCTTAAAATTTATTTCAATGTAACCTTTCAATGTAACCTTGTGATAAATGTATTTCCATAGAAACACACACCAGTTTGTAATAATGATGCAATGGAGAAAAAACAGGATTTAAATATAGAAAATTTTGTTTTACAAATAACTTTTGTCAACAGGCAATCGGGGGGCAGCTAGGTGATGGAGTAGATAGAACATCAGCCCTGAAGTCAGGAGGACCTGAATTCAAATCTGACCTACCAGCTGTGTGACCCTGGGCAAGTCACCTAACCCTGACTGCCTCGCCAAAAACAAAACAAAACAAACAAACAAACAAAAAAACCCTCAGAAAACAGGCAATCACAATGTCATGAGAATTATGTGAAAATCAGGTTTATTACAAGAGAAATTAACATGCATGTGGAACCCAAAGGGTTCCCAGGCTTTACAGAAATTAACGCTTTTATAATAGCAAGAGAAAGGGAGAAGGGGATGCCAGGAAGAGGTATGACAAGGAGGGAGAACTGTGCAGCAGAAGTGGGAAAAAAAGGGGCAGCTAGGTGGTGCAGTGGATAGAGCACCGGCCCTGAAGTCAGGAGGACCTGAGTTCAAAGCTGGCCTCAGACCAAACACTTGACACTTAACTAGCTGTGTGATCCTGGGCAAATCACTTAACCCCAGTTACCTAAAAAAAAAAAAAAAAGAAGTGGGAAAAAGAAAAAAAAGACCATTCCCTACAGGGAGGAGCAAGATGATGGCAAAAGGCACATTCTTTTCACTTGGGCATTGCTAGACTATGAAGATAGGAGGGTCTGCTTAACTGCAAAGGACCCCAGCTGCACAAGCATTATCCCAGCCTGGCACAGACTGGCTGGTGCCTGTCTTGCCTCTTAAGGACACACAGGGAGTCAGGCTTGGAGTACAACAACAAATTATGTCAGCTCAGGGGGAGCTTCATCCTCAACACATTCAGGGCCTCCTGCATGATCTGGGTCCAGTGTTTCTGGAAAATATGGCAACTCAAGTCAAGGGACCCCTTAACAACCCTTAACACTTTCTAGGAAGGTTACACTGGTGTATCAAGGGTTCCCTGTATTCAATATAGGGAAAAGGTGAAGAATTTTGTTTCTCGTGAGATTTTGTGCTATAGATGATTTCTAAACTTAAAGTTTATTAATCTTAACACAAAGTATATTGTCTGTCCAGTCTGATATAATTACTTGTGCACAAGAAGTTGAAATGATGATAAAGCAATTAGCAGCACAAATGGAACAATTAAAAATGACTGTACAAGCAAAGACTGCTGTACCGACGTCACAAGTCTATGTAAGTATTCCATATGTATCAATTTTTCCTCATTTTAATCAATATCCTTTGAAATACCCCCCCAAAAGTAAGTTAAAAAAGTAATAAGGTGCATCAGTAATGTTAAATTGTTAAAGATATTCTGAATTATTTGTGTTTTGATTCTGCTTTTTTTTCATTCATTCTTTCTTTCGCACCTTAAGTGTTACACATTTTACAGGATTATCTCCTTTTGTGTGCTTCTGCAGGATTTAAATCCTTACAAAGAAAGAGGAGAGATGTACCTACTACTTTAGTTTCTAGGGGCCTACTGAATAAGAACCACTAGCTCAGTAGTGATGGATGGCTACTATCAGAGGTGGTCCAGAGCTGAATGCTGATGAAAAAATATTCATCAGCATTATGGAATTATAATGTGCCAAGAGTAGAAAATATTGATCCATTGTGCATACACACATCTACAATCTCATTTATCAGATCTCAGCCTCAACTTATCTGCACCATTTTCCTGTGCAAGTTTATGAAGTTTTCCTTTGAATGCTTTCTACTTACAGATGAATACAACATGAAAATGCAGTGCTTTATAGAGCAATAGAGGGCTTAGATTATTTCCAAAGTTACATTATTTTGAATTACTGGAACAAGTTAAGGTACCCAATACTTAATCTGAGAGTGATCCATGGCATAATTCTGTCCAGGATCATTTTTAAAATTAAATTAAACTAAAATTTATTTTTTCAGGGAGCAAAGATCTATTTTCTCTCTTTCCTCCCTACCATCCTCTTCCCCCATTAAAAACAGAAAAATGAAATCCTTACTAACAATGAAAAATGAAATCGATCATGTCTAAAAATCTGTGTCTCATTCTGTACTCTGAGTCAATCACCTCTCTGCTACTTCCCCCACCCCCTCCCCAACCTCTGGGAGGAGAAAAGAAACACAAAACCCTTGTGACAAATATGCTTAGTTAAGCAAAAAAAATTTCTTCTTTTCTGGTCAGGATTATTTTTTAAAAGCGCATGAACAATTAAAAAAGAGATGATCACAAGAAACCAGCATGAATTCACTTATTATTAGTGAATCTTGGTATAACAATAATAATCCCTTGCTGGGCCCAGAAAGTTGGGGAACTGCAACCCCCCCTTCCCCTCAATCTCTACTAAGGGGCTCATGTGAGCTCTGGACTTATTTACACAGACTGGTTCAGACCTGGAGGAGCCTTACCATATAAAAGAAGGATCAGGAACTATTTCTCATGCTCTCAGGAGCCCCAGAGAAAATCCCTAGAGCTTAAGTTTGCCTTATGTCTAAAATATCTCCCCAAAAGGGATAGTAGAAAGGTGTACAATCCACGCAATGTACAGCGTAGACCAGATATCAGATAGCTACTTATTTTCTCTACACAAAAGAAATGCTTTACATTCGCAAGGCCTAAATGCATGTGCTGACAGTAGAACTTAAGCAATAGCAGCAACTTTCCCAACAGGTTGAGACTTAAAAACCTGCAAAACATAAAGCAGTTTGTATTACTACTAAATCACAATTTCACATTTCACCTTGGTTCCACGCTGTCCAATCAGTCCACTCCAGGTCCATATTTTCCATTATCCAGGCCTGGGATGGCTCCTATCCATGGTTACCTTCTCCTCCAAGCACTATAGTGGATATAGAGAGGGTATCTTCTAAAATATAGCTGGCATCTACTGAGGACCCAGGATCCTCTGACCTCTTGAGTTCACAAGAGTTACGTTATTTGTCCAATAATGTAGGAAAATCCCAACTTACAGGGAGGTGATGTTCCAATAAAAAATGAAACTGAATGCTGTATAATTATAATAACCAAGTTTGGCCCCAGAAATGAGGACATTTACTTCCCTTCACTCAAGAGGTGGGAGATCACAGGAATGGAATGTTTCATGTACTATTAGGTAGAGTCAATATGCTGATTTTGCTGAACTATTTTTTTTAAACATACGAGGAAATGCTTGCCAGATATGGAGGGAGGACATGTTTATAAATTAGTGTAATGGAAAAAAATTTAAAAATTTAAGAAATTGAAAACAAAAGGTATCAATAAAACACTCATTTAAAATTTAATTTAAAAAAATGAGTTGAGTCCAGCCCCCAAAGCTGTACGTGTTAGTCATGGTTCAGTCACCTAAGATCAGGAGAAAGTGGAAAAGGCAGCAAGGCTCCCCAAGTCCCAGGCTCAGCATGCTCGGCCAAGCATCTACTCTATCTGCCACATAGGGGCAGTTGCCATGCTGCCAAGGTATGTAAGCCACTGTCTCCATCTTTCATGGGAAGTCTCAGGGTTACCTAATGCCACTTAGAGAGCTAAAAGAAGAGAGAGGGCAAAATTCAAGGATGTTCTGGAGCTAGAACAAAACAAGAGAGCCGAATGTTAAATTTGCCATGTGAGCTCCAAACTTGGCAAACGTTGTAAATTGGGGCTTGACTTATTTTTTTGTTGATTGTTTAGACTTAAGAATGCTATGGAAGGAATATTAATAATGTAGATTAAACTTTAAAAAGTGTGTAATACATGCATTTTTCCTCCAGAGAGCCAGTTGCTAAAACATTTATCAACATACTATTGGCATAGTCACTTCCTTTTTAAGGTTAACTGATGGAGCCCCTCTTCCTAATTTAGTGGCTGATTTTGCCCATTACAACTTCAGCGCAGCATCTCCCTCTCCTTCACACTTCTCAGTGGGGGAACAAGGGACACCCCGAGTTTTCTGCATTGTCTCAAAGTGACAAGTCCTTCTGAGTTGAGCTCATGTTGAAAACTCAGAGCACACTCTTTTGGGTACCACTCCCATAAAAACTGGTATAAAGGGATTCCTATTCAAGGATGCATGAAATTTGATCATTTCTGAGGTCTCTTCCATCTCTGAGATTCTATGACTCTCAGTTAGGCCAAGTTAACCTCAATTCCTTTTTGACAGGGTTATGCCATACCTTGACTTAAGCAAGGCATTTTAAAAAGCCATTCTTGTGAAATCCATATGGACAAGATGGCAAGCTATAGACTGCACGATAATACGGTTGTGTGTATACATAGTTATTTGAAGAATTATGCTTAAAGAGTGTTGATTAATGTGCTATAAACTAGGAAGGTTTCCAGTAGAGACAACAGGGTTTTTTTTTTATCAATGACTTTGAGGAAGATGTGAAAGTGATGTCTAAAGACACTAATTTAATGGGATTGAGATGGTGGCACTTTAGAACTGCTACATCAAAGATCCAACCAGCCTAATATTGGACTAGCTCTCATCAGCTATCACTTCACTCCCTAATTTGATGTCCTAAAGCCAAATCCCTTTTTTCCTCCTACTCACTGACAGAGACGAACAAGTTCAAGTATAGGGATCCTGGGTCCCCTAGGAAACACAGGGGAAGGGGCAGCTAGGTGGCGCAGTAGATAGAGCTTCAGCCTTGGAGTCAGGAGGACCTGAGTTCAAATCCTGCCTCAGACACATGACACTTACTAGCTGTGTGACCCTGGGCAAGTCATTTAACCCTGACTGTCTCACTAAAAAAAAGAAAAAAGAAATATGGATGAAGCATTCACTGTTCTGGACCCAGATCCAAATGAGCAATTTTAGAGAGACATGCATTAATGCAGGTAATCATAGAAATGCTCCTAATACTGTAAACAAGGAGGTCCCTAGTTCACATGGTCCCACAGTTATTTCTGCTAGAACAACAAAGTCAGGGCAGCTGAGCTGGGAGGAATGACAAATGGACAGTCAGTAGTCCTGAGAAGGATACCAGCTTCAAGGACTATGGGAGTGTGCACATTAAAGCAGAGAAGAAGAAGGCTTTTCTTCTTTCTTACTATTTGAAATTAATTTTCTATAAGTCTCATTTTCCTTATGAATTTGTTTAACCTTTTTCAGTAAATGAATTGAAGATTTCTTTAAAAATGATATGTATTTAAATAACATTTATTAAATTTAAATATGATGAAATACAACTTTTTCATGTGTGTGGACCAGATTATGTACATATTATATTGGCATAGTTTTTTTAAGGCTTTTAAAAATATATCTAAAAGCAAAATTTGTTCATTTGCAAATGATAGGGTTTTTTTCAATGATTAACTTGTAATTAACTTGTAATTATTATAATATTAGCTTGTAATCTTATTATAAACTAGGTTACTTATTCCCCCCTCTATCCTCCTCAGCCTATATTTATTGCACTTTCTGGCTTGTGGACCAGCTTTCAAGATGAAACTGTATTACTTAGTGTTCTGAGTAATTTAATCACTCACCTTGGACCATTCCTAGGAGCTCATGAAGACCTTTATAATGCTCAACTGATTCAAGACCTCCTTGAAGAAGTGGAAGTAAAAACGGATGTATTTCGGATAAAAGAAAGCATGGGTATGAATAATTGCCACTTCTCTTTCTTTTCAAAAAATTTTAGCATAAATTTACCAATCTCTTTTTTCTCTAATCTTCTCTTAAAAAATTAAAATTTGTTGTTAAATACTGTTTTTGAAGAACATACTTATCATTCAACCACATTGTAAAGGTATGAGGATATATGATATAACCAATTGCATTCAATTAAATTTATTTATTAATTTAGGTTCAAATTAAGTATTTAAATGTATCTTAACTTTTGGAGAAGGTCTATCTGGATCATTAGTTACTTTTATTTTGTTAGCTATACTGTCTATAGAGCCAAAGGGCACAGTTGAAATGCATTTATGGGAATGTTCACATTATGGATTGATTAGTACTAATATTATTCTATTTAAAATGGAAATGGGTAATTTATCCTAAAAGTTATATTGAAAAATTCTATTTGAATAAAAATATAAAATTAAAATAAAAGGCAGCCAAATTAATTCACCCAAAGAAACTAGTTCTTTTTTGCATAAAAATTATCCTGAATATGAAATTTTGATAAATAATTTAAAATAACATTGGCAGAGTAATCATAAACAGCTAATATACTGCAGTTGTACATACTAGAAAATATAAAATATGAACTGATATCTCCTTACATAATATTTAATTATTTTCATAATTCAGTGGACAAATTGTTGAGCAAACGTTGAAATAATCATGACAAATATGTTTGATCTTCTGGAAAAAATAAAACTGAAAGATTCCAAAAATCTAATTTCATTGAATAATAGAATTTTAGAGCTAGAAGGGACCTTAGCCATCACTTAGTGTTTTGTTTAGCCATCACTTTTGTTTTGCAGATGAGCAAAATGAAATTTAATGGGTTAGGACCAGCTAAAGGTCCCTCTGGTAGTTTTGTTTGATTTCTCATTTTAGAGTTTCATACCTCTATGGAAAGTCACAGTAAAGTATCTGGAGCCTTCAAACATAAGTAAATTGCCATCTCCAGCCATCCTGATCTATATCTTGCCACTGGACGCAGATGACTCCAGAGGAGAAAGTGGGGCTGGTGATTTTGCCAGCCCTCTCTCACTTAAATCCAATACATGTGCAAGTCATGGCATTACCTTCCTGCTGTCAGGGTCCTCTCCTAGAATGAAAGATGAACAATACATTAAACAGTACATTCATTTCTATCAAAACTGCCATTAGAATTGTAGATCACACTTCTAATGGACTCAACTCTGGCTTTTCTGCTTATTCTTCAAAATACAGTTGTGGCCCCAAATTCTCACTGAAATTTCAGTCTTAGTTTTCTTGCTGATTACATGAAATTTTCTCGTGGGTATCACTGCAAACACAATATATCTAACACTGAATCCATTCAGTCATTCATTCAGCAACAATTTATTGAATACCTACTTTGTAAAAGGTACTGTGTTAGATGCTTCAGGGGATATAAATGAGAACAAGATGTGGTTCCCAACCTGGGAGAGCAAACGTTCCAAGATTAACCCCTTCCTGTTCCTCCAATCTTTCCTTATCCATGACCTTACCTTTTCAGTTATTTTCTTTCTCCTTTTTCAGCAGGTTCTCCCTGCTCAAAAATCTATGCAAATCTTTTATATCTTAAAAATTGTTTTTCCCCAATTAACAAGCATTATTTTTCTCTCACTTCCATCTCTCCCCAATCCCAGGATTTGGGTGTGGGAGGACAGGGAGGGCAGGGGAAGGAAAACAAAACTCTTATAACAAATAAGTGTAGTCAAAGAAAATAAAAATTTGAAAAAAGTTTGTCATAAAATTCTAAAAAATTAAAAGTACAAAAAGCATGATTTTAAAAATTAGCGTATTGAGTCAGCTTCTCCAGGCTTTTAAAATATATTCCTTTAATATTTTTATGTTTAATAATTTACTTTCTTATCTTTATTTTTTAAGGAAATCCCATATTAGTCAAATCCAAAAATGTACATATTGAATCTATCACTTTTCTGTTAGGAGGTGGAAAGCATGCTTCATCATCACTGTTGTGAAATCATCATAGGTCATTGCATTGATCAAAGTTCTTAAGTCTTTCATAGTTTGTCTTTACAATGTTGCTGTTATTATATAAATTGTTCTCCTGGTTCTGCTCACTTCATTCTGTATCAGTTCATACAAGTCTTCCCCAGGTTTCTCTGAAATTATCACTTCTTATAGCACAGTAGTGTTCCACTGAATTCACATATCATACTTTGTTCAGCCATCCCCTGGTTTATGAGTAACCTTTTTGTTTCCCATTCTTTGCCAAGACAAAAAAAAAGTTGCTGTAAATATTTTTCAGTGTATAGGACCTTTTCCTCTTTCTTTGATCTCCTTAGTGATAGGCCTGGTAAATGTGAGTCAAAGAGTACACAGATAAGAAACTTTTAGAGCCTAATTATATCCCATTTACCTTGAAACAAAAACAAGACCCGTCTTAAGACTATCATGTTACCCCTAAAACTTCTTTCCTCCAGGTTAACCATCCTTACCAAGTTTCCCATGGTCTTAAGTTGTCTTATTGTCTCTGGATATTCATCACTTTGCTCACATCCTTCCTAAAGTGGGTGCTCTAGAACTGAATGAAATTGCTCTTATGCTTATAGTCTGTATCATATAATTAGCATCCTATTATATATTGCTAATCCTTTATACTGTTCATTTTAACACTTTATTCTGTGAGCATGTATAATAATGCCTTATTCTTTGACTGTTCCATGTCACCTTATACAAGACCATCTTTTCTCTCCCCACAAACCAGATGGTAAGTTCCTTTCGCAAATTGTGGTCAATATAGCTCTAGGCATATAATAGGTACTCGAAAAAGCATATATAGAATTCTAGAACTAAGAGGAATCTTGAGACCAGCTAAATCCAACCTTATCATTTTACAGATAAGAAAACTGAAATTCTGAATGATTAATTGACTGTTTAGCAGGTAGTGACAGAAGTAGGACTATACCTCAGGTCTTCTGACTTTGAATTCTATGTTTTTATCTTGGTATCTCTTCCCACAATTTTTTTAAGTAGAAAAAACACCATGTAATCAAGGAAAAGGCAGTCTTTTCATTATAAAATTTTTTTTCTCTGAATTTCTTTAGGAACCAGAGTAAATGTAAATGATTTCAAGAAAGTAGATTGGCTTTTCCCAGAAACTACAGCAAATTTTGACAAATTGCCAATTCAATACCGGGGATTTTGTGGTTACACATTTGCTGTAACAGATGGACTGCTTCTTCCAGGTGTGTACTTGAAAATAAGCATAATCACAACTGGTATCTGCATATAGCACTTTTATATATATTATCACATTTGAGTCTTACCACAGCGATGTGAGATACATATTACAGGTGTTTGTATCCTATGGAGGACCTGGTTTAAATCTCAGGAACATTAAGGAAATGAAAACCAAAACGTTAAAGCAAAAAAGAACTTTTATTGAATATGGATCAGCTCAAGTTTCCAGTAGCAGGGAGAAATCTGGTGCAAGATTTCCATTCCCTTTCCCCTCCTTCTTTCCCTTTTCCTTTTTCACCCCTTATCCTTTCCCTTTCCTTCTTCCATTCTTAGAGTTTTGCTGCATTTATGTAAACTATGCCTCTAAAGAAATGTGACTGTCACATTGCAGAAGAAATATTTCAAAAATGTTTTAGAAAATGGAACATCATTAGAACTCCTGAAGTAATTATTTGAAAGGATAATATTCATTTGGATATTTAAATTCTAGTGCAATTTTTAAGTCTGGCACATTACATTACAGCCTCATTTTTATAGGTCATATTTCAATAAGGAATCCAAAATTTTATTGTTTAGAATTTTAAAAGAATATGTACATTAGTGGAAATTGTATTTGAAACTTGTTGAGGTTGAAATTTCTTACAACCTGCCAATAAGCAAATGAAGAGAAATCTTTGACACACAGTGCTTATTTAATTTCTAATGATACGAAGCCTCTAGGACTAAAAGCATTTCAGTCTTGTTATTTCTATTCACTTTGTCCACCATGACTCTTGAATGAAGTTTGTCTTTTCTTCATTCTTTGTATTTGTACCATGCTACATAATTGGATATTATATTTTTCTTTATCATTATTATTATTGCAATTGAAAAGAGAAGTTACTATAGTCCCACAAACTAGAAAATATGTTAGTTGTATTTAATTTGTAGTAGATAATTTTACTACAATTAGATAAATAAATTATTTGTAATATTGATTAGCTATCAAGAAAACAGATGGCATTTTGGTCCACTGACCCACAAAAGAACAAAATAATATAAGACTCATTTGGGAAAATTTTAGTTTTGTTTTGTGAGTAGGCAGGAAGATACCTAGAGGATAATTCAGAGAAATCTAGACAGAGAATGAATAATAAAGAGAAAAAGGAATAATATACAGATAGACAAATATACTCAGGTGCCCAAGGCAAGACCCTTTCTCCATATCTGGGCCTAAGAAGATCCAGGGTCCTAGAGGATTCTGACCTCAGTGAAAGTCACTCTCTGTCTCTCTGTCTGTCTCTCTCTCTGTCTGTCTCTCTCTCTCTTTTTCCTCTCTCTTTCTCTCTTTCTCCCTATCTCCTCCTCTCCCACCCTCTCCCCCCATCTTGGAGTTTCAGGGAAATCTCTTAAACAAAATTTAGCAGTATTTCAGATTTAGAGTCTCCCCTGAAAGAAGCCCACAGGATCTCTTTTAGAAAAAGGCACTTAATGTACGATGTGGAGATCAATCAACCAAGGAGGATTTATTAAATGTGTACTAATGCTTGCTCCTTGGAAGGAAAACTATGACAAATCTGGATGGCAGACCAAAAAGCAGACATCACCTTGCTGACAAAGGTCTGTGTAGTCAATAGCAATTATTTCTGTTTAGGCCAGAAAACCTGAGGATCTTCCCCTCCCAAATTGATTTTTTTTTTAACTAGGTAAAAGAGGCCATTTTTTGTCTCATTTCTTACATTGCCTCAAACACACTGAGACCTGAGAAAGACCTTAGCTTAAAAGAAGGCTAAGGTAGGGACCGCTAGGTGGCACAGTGGATAGAGCATTGGCCATGGATTCAGGAGGAACTGAGTTCAAATTCGACCTCAGACAGACAACACACACCTACTACAGTGTGACCCTGGGCAAGTCACTTAACCCCATTGCCTAACCAAAAAAAAAAAAAAGGCCAAGGTCTCCCACTGCATCTGGGGCCATCTCCAGTCATCCTGATCTATATCTTCCCACTGGACTCAGATGGTTCTAGAGGAGAGAGTGAGGCTGAAGACTTTGCAAAGCCCTGCCTCACTTAAATCCAGTTCACTTGCAAGTCATGCCATCACCTTCCTGGTGATCCTCTTCAAAAATGAAGGACAAACAACAACAACAATGGTTTTTCCAGTAGTAATTTGTGGCTGTGAGAATTGTACTTTAAGGAAAGCTTGAGTATGGTAGAATCAGTGCTTTTGAATTGTGGTACTGGAGAAGACTTTTGAGAGTTCCTCAGACAGCAAGGAGATCAAATCAATATTTAAAGAAATTAATTCTGACTGTTCATTGGAAGGACATATACTGAAGCTGAAGCTTAAATACTTTGGTCATATAATGCTAAGGTGGGCTCATTGGAAAAGACTTTGATGCTGGGAAAGATTGAAGGCAAAAGGAGAAGGGGATGGCAGGGGATGTTATGGATAGTCATGGAAGCATGAACTTGGACAGATTTTGAGAGATAGTGGAGGACAGAAGGGTCTGACATGCTTTGGTCCATAGGGTCACGAAGGGTCAGGTACAACTGAACAACTGAACAATAGCAACAATAAAGTGTCAGGCATCATACTAAGTGCTGGGAATATGAAGACAAAAAAGGAATGGTCTCTGCTGTCAAGGAGGTGAAACAAGTCAAATCTTGAAGGAAACCTGAAATTATAAGAGGCAGATATGATGAAGGAGATCATTCCTGGCATAGGGGGCAGTTAACACAAAGGCATGGCAGTGGGAGATGGGGCATTGTGTGTGAGGAACAGCAAGAAGGCTAGTGTGGCTGGATCATAGAGCATGGGGTGAGGGCTAATGCGTAAGAATATTTAAAAAGGTAGGAAGAGGTCAGGTTGTAAGAACTTTGAAAGCCAAGTAGAGGAGTTCGTAGTTGATCCTGGAAGTAATGAAGAGCCACTGGAGTTTATTTAAAGGAATTATGTGGTCAGACGTGTATTAGAGAAATAACTTTGGTGGCCCGGTAGAGGATGGGATGCAGTAGGGAAAGACTTGAAGGAAGAGGACCAATTAGAAGGCTATTGCTGTGACACAAGTGAGGGGTGATGATGGCCTGGACTAAGGTGGTGTCTGTGTGTGAATGGAGAAATGAGGCCGTTTTAAGAAATGTGAAGATAGAAGTAACAAGATAGGGCAACTGATTCAGTAAGTATGGGTATGAGGTGGGTAAGGAGTTGAGAATGACAGTGAGAGTTTGAATCAGGGTAGCTAAACAGAATGATGCTAGCTAAGTATAATGAATAACTTTTTATCAGCATACATCTTCAGTATTGCTGTAAATGTTTGAGCAGAAGCTTGTAGACCACTTGTTAAGGGTTGTTCTTGAAGGCACTACTAGACCGGGGAGAAGGTTGGATTAGGTGACTTCTAGGGTCTCTTCTAACATGAAGACTCCAGTATTTGTTTCAAGTACATTATATCTTAGAGTTTAAAATAGGTTAGTAGATACTTGAAAAATATCATAAAATTCTAAATTAGAAAATTAAAAGTGCAAGAAACATGATTAAAAAATGTAGTCTGTTGAGTCAGCATCACAGGGCAATACAATGTTTTAATATTTTTATGTTTAACAATTTACTTGTCTTTATTTTTAAGGAAATCCAATGATTGGAATTTTGAAATATAAAGACCGATATTACACTTTCAATTCCAAAGAAGCTGCATATGCTTTTGCAGAAAATCCAAATAAATACATTGAGATGATTGGAGAAAAAGCAAAAAAGAGAGCAGAACTAATTCAGCTATTGGAACTTCATCAGCAATTTGAAACTGTGATTCCATATTCTCAAGTAGGTGCTATTAACTATCCACACCAAGGGCAGAAATAGATGGAGCACACTGAATACAGGAAACACTACAGCTCTTGTCTTAATGTTGTTTTCTTCCTGATAGAAAGTTTTATTCTGGTACCCTCACCTTATAGCTTCATATCTACCTGGTTGTCTCCATCATCTTCTGTATAAATAGATTTTGCTAAAACTTAAAATTCTTGGCCTAACGTTTAAGGTAGTTTATAAACTGGCTCCATTGGACCTTTCCAGATGTCTTTCCAGATGTATTTCCTCATAATGTCTCTCCATTTCATCTAAACTGATTGATTTATACATCTTTTCTGTAGGTTTTTCACAAGTGTTTAGTATTTTCAATTTTTGGTTTGTCTTGTTTTGCCTAGAAGTAGCATTCATTAAATGAAGGTGTATGTGTGTGTATGTGTGTGTGTGTGTGTGTGTGTGTGTGTGTGTGTGTGTGTGTGTGTGTGTGTATTAATGACAATTCTCCATTTCTTCAGGTCAAAGTGATCGACAAACATATAAAACCAATAACAAGATGTGAAAGTAGCACACAGACAGATGTACACATAATGCAGCCAACAATTGAAAAAGGTTATGAATGGAACGAATGGGAGCTGAGAAGAAAAGCTATAAAACTGGTTTGTAGCAATGTTATCTGACATAGTGTTTTGTGGGTTCATTAAAAATATATATTTTTTGAGGGTGGAGCTGAACTACTATTTTTTAGAATTTTTGGAGGATTGAATGAAATGATTCCAGTAAACCAATATAAGATACTCTGAGAGTTCTTTACTAATTTATAAGTAATTATATATAGTATTTTATAACTAAAGCTTTCCTTCTGATGACAAACAGGTAGAAGCCCAATGTTACTTGCTACCTCAAAACTAGAATACAAATGTACTATCTTTCATATAAAACAATAAAGTTATCAGCCAGGTATGAACTATGACTAAATCCTGGCCCTGGTATTTAAAGCATGCCAATTCACTTTCTGTCATGTCATATTTAAAGTAATCTCCTCTCCCTGCTTTATGGATAAGGAATTTAGCCATAAATCTTTTCTCAAGGCTTACACTTACATGTCATTAATAATTTTCTTCATAGAATTGTATGCATATATGTCTCATAGACCCAATAAGAGTATAATTTCTTTGGAGATACCCAGATCATTTAGAAACCATCTTGCCTTGGAAATGTTAAACAACTCAGCCTCTTACTTGAAATCTTTATCTGTTTAAGTTGAGAGCAAACAAGCAGTTATTTACATAGCATTTTAGAGCTTGGTGTTACTATTAGTTGATGAGATAAGGGTATGCCTGCAGTCAGGGAATTTTGTACTTCTTATCCAATTGATAAAACAGTTTTGGGATACTTCTAAATATCCTTCATAATAGTCTCTTCTAGCTATTTCCTCCTAAATGTTCTTTTCTAAGAGGAGATTGATATTTACCTAAACTCTGACATTTATCTAAACTGCTAATATAATTCTAACCCTGTTGTTGAAGGGATGGTCAGTAAGAAGTTTTGCTTGGATTTGGTTTTCCCATTAGTTATGATGGATTTGTAGGTTGATCCTTAACTTTTGGTCATGCACCTTTAACTTCCAGAATTTCTCTTTTCAAAAAGAGATGTCTTGATACTCGATTCCTCCCAGTTACAAACTCATTTAGAGCCAATTCTTCCCATGAGTTTCATATTTGGCCTTCTCATCTCTTTGCCTTCCCTCTCATCCTTTTACCTACTAATGCCTCTGATGAATGGCTAGTACAGTTCTCAGCATATGGTGGACTCCTTAAAAAGTCCTGACAAATCCCTGCTAGGTGATGTTTGTCTTTGTTACTTTATGGTTTTAGATTTGTAGATTCAATTTTCAGAGGTAGATTTCACTTCTCAAAATGTCATCCTGCAGTTGAAGATCCTGTGCCCATCTAGTGTGGTTGTGTAATCTGAACTACCTGGCTTTAAGCTGTAAGGGGCAGGAGAATAGTTGTAGAGGGATGGAGAGATGAAGGACAGAAAAAAAAATTATTCACATGCATTCCTCTTCTACATTCTTTAAAATGTAAGTTTGTATTGAAACAGCTAGACAGACAATAGTAACATTAAATTTAATAATAATAATAGTAATTCACATTTATATAGTGCTTACAGAATGCTTTACTGAAATTGCCTCCTTTGATCCTCATGACAACCTTATGAGGTAAGTACTATCATTATCCCCATTTTACAGATTAAAAACTGTGCAGCTAGGTGGCACAGTGGACAGAACACCAGCCCTTGAGTCAGGAGGACCTGAGTTCAAATTTGGCCTCAGACACAATACTCACTAGCTATGTGATCCTGGACAAGTCACTTAACCCTGATTGCCTTGCCCAAACAAACAAACAAACAAAAAACCAAAACTGAGGCTGCAAGAGGTTAAGTGACATGTCCAGGGTCACACAACTAGTTTCTGAGGCAAGGTTTGAACTCAGATCTTCCTGCCTTTAAGTCCAGCACTCTATCCACTTCTCCATGGTAAACTTATAGAACAAAAATTTTGAGAAAATGAAGCAAAATTTGGTATATTTCTTGTTAATCTTTGGCTGTTATTATAACAATCTAACCCTGCTCTTATCCCCAGAATTAGATAACAATGCTATATTTAAAACCCAGAATCTTTGTATGAGAATTGGCCCCCTTCAGAGCCATTTCACAATTCCGGGGACCTCAGGCCAGGTTAATATCAAAAGGCCTTTTTAGCTTTCCACTGATGATTAACTGTGGACACTTCAGTATTAGAAATCAGGCTTGAGATAGCAAACAGAAACTTAGCACTGAAAGGGAGCTCAGAAGTCCTGTAGTCCTTTCTATATCTGAAGAGGAAGTCTTTGTACAACATCATAGACATGCAATCAATCAGCCAGTCCACTTTTGAAGATCTCTCCTGGGGGAGAACTCACTACCTCCTGAAGCAGCACATTCTATAGATGAGTCTAATTGCTAAGAAATTTCCCCTTATATTAGGCCTAAATCTACCTCTCTTTGCTGTTTATTATGCCTAGTTCTGCTGTTTGAAACCAATCGAAACAAGCCCAATTCTTCTTCCTTGGGGCAGCTTTTCAAATATTGGAGGGACCTACCACAAGGACCCTAACTCTTCTCTTCTTCAGGTTAAACTCCCCTACTTTCTTCAACTATCCTTGTTTGACATAGCTTTAGTCCCCTCATAATCCTGATTGTCACCCTTTGATAGCCTTCTATTCTGTCCTTCCTAAAATATGATGCCTAAAACTCAATGCTGGTAGTCCTAGACTGGCAAAACTGTGGAATGTTACAGACATACAATGCCAGGGTTTCAGATGTTGCCTGACCAGGACAGAGTATGAGGATTGTTACCTCCCTCAATGTGAGTACTATTAGAACATTAAAAAAAAACCACTGGTAGGCTGGACCACAGGACGCACTCTCTGCCTGAACCACACGCATGGGTCCATGAACATTTGCAAATGGACCTCTTTGCTCTGGACCCATGTGTGTGGTTCAGGCAGGGTTCAGTTCTGAGGGAGCCTGACCTCTAATGAAACGGAGAACTAGCTTCCCTTTCCTTATGCTTTTTTTGGCTTGTTAAACACCTATCTTAGCTGCCCAGGGAGAAATTAGAGAACACATATGGTCAAGGCACCTAGGTAGAGGGCCACACACATAAGGAAAATGAGTGGCTAGGCCACATGAATGCAAAGCCACATGGATAGAGGACATGTGAGTTCAAGGCACAAATACAGAGGGACAGCTCATACTTCTGATACTGTAAGGTGGTTGGTGTCTTCTGATTCCATCGTTATGCTGCTCCCTGTGGATCTCTAGTAGTTGGGTTATATCTACTGAATTCACTGCCTCCAACCAATGCTACATCACTGAATGTGTTGTCTCTGCCCGATGCTGCTAGGCATGGTTCCACTGGGCAAATGGTGATACCACTTCTCTTTACTTCCAGCTTCTAAATTCAGCTAAAATCCTTTGCTATAGTGTTCTCTCTTCCTCTTGAGAGAAGGCAAAGAAAATTAGGGTGGGGGGGGCAGAATGTCCTACCTATTACATAACTGCAAATGCCTAGTGGTCCTTCCTTTCCTTCTTTATGGTACATTTGTCCATCTTTTGGCTTCCCGGACACACATAAGGATCCCTTTCTTCCTCCTCAGATTCTTTTTCCTGCTTTGTTTCTAATTGAAACATTACTTCCTTTCTTTCAAGGAAAAATTCATTCTCCCTGATAACCTTGAAAGTAGAGGCATCCTCTCAAGACAGTTTCTAATAGATAGACATCTTGTACATCTTGTGAATTTTTAGTTTTTATCTGTCATGGGCAGAGATACAAACATAGCACACTTCCAAGTCACAGAAAAATTCCTTTAGTCCCACAAAGCAAATCCTAGGCTCTCTGTTATTCTTTATGGAAAACTTATGTGCCAAATGACAGAATCTCCTGAGGATAGCATTCTTTATTTATAGCAAGCTTCCTGCTTTTTCTTTTAAGATGACACTAACTTTCTCTGCTATCCTTGATTGGCAATTAGCAGCCTCCTACCAAAGCCCTAGGGGAAACAGAAGCTGCCTGAAGTTGTCATCTCTTGGAGGGTCTTAAGAACTAATTGCCAGCCATTTTGCCCCTTTTCCTACATTCTCTGATGACCAGGTGTTGGAAACCTCCTTTCCTGTTGCCTTTCTATGGGGTTCCAGCAAAGAATTTATAAATGGCAGGTACTTGCTTGCTGAGCTTCCATTGATTGGCAGTTAGCAGCTTCCTGCCAAAGGCCCAATGCAAACAAGCTGTCCACAGCTGTTGTTTCTCCTTCATAGACTGCTACTGCGGTCATGCTCACAGATTTCAGCTCCCTTTGAATCCCTCTTTCATGTCTTTCAAATAGCAGAAGGAAAAAGACAATCCATATAGTTGCATCTTTATGCTGAAAGCATTAAAAATGATAATTATTTTTTCTTTTTAATAAAAAAGGAGGTAACTTTCCACTCTCTCCTAAAAAGAGAGAGAGACAATAGCTATCTTTAGGTATGGTTGTTGGCTGGGTGTTAAGCACATGGAAAAGCATAGACGCCAGAACACTCACCCAAGAATTTATTCCAGGCTGACATTGAACACTTTGAGTCCAGCTGTTTAATCAATTCCATGTCCTCCTAATTGCCATATTTCCTAGACCACATCTCTTCATCTTGTCCACAAGGTTAGCGTCCTCATCACCATCACTAATGTGTATAGCAGGTGAAGGCTTCATATGCATTATCTCATTTGATCTTCAGAACAATTCTGAAAGTTATATTAATTATTAATATGGCCACTTTGAAGAGGAGAGTTTTTATAACATTCTATTTGTCCAGCTCTATGAATAGAATTCCTCTCTGTCTTTAAGATATAGGTCAAGCAGCAACTTCTGTATGAAGTCTTCCTTGATTCCTTGAAATGGAAGTGTCTTCCCTCCCAAACTCCTTGTATTTAACTATTTTGTACATACTTGATTGATTAACTTTATATTTTATGCATTTTGTAGTTAACTATTTTATATTTTATATGTATTTTGTAGCTTATATTTTATAGTTAACCATTATTTCCCACATTGGGATATAAGATCTTTGTGAGTAGAGGTTGTTTCATTCTTTGAAATTGTATCCCTAGTGTCCAGCACAATGCCTGGCACATATTAGGAACTTAGTAAATGCTTAATAATGAATTACTTTATCAATTGAACACAGTTGGATTTGAGTTCAGTCTAGAACTCTTCTTGTTATACATGCTGCTGGAAGGACTTTGTTAGATGTTTTGTATTCCCACTCCCCATCTATTAGCCTAGTAATGCTGTTTAAAAAAAAGGAAATTAAATTAGTCCTTCTAGGTGAAGCCATGCAGATTCTCTGCGCTTGTGTCTTTCTTTTCTAGGTGTTTACTAACCAGTCCTTTAATAATATGTTACTGAATTTTGCCAAGAATCCAAGTAATTTGCAGGCTCCCTTCTCCCTCTTTTGAAAGATAGGGATAATATTTATCTTTCTTCAGGCCTATGGCACCTCTAGAAACTTTCAAAGAGCATTGAAATCGTTCAGCAGTTACATCTACTTGTTCCATTGGTATTGTGAGATGTAGTTCATTTGGGCCCTGAGACTTGAATTTATCAAAGAATGCTAAGATGCTAACTATCTTCTTACTTATCTTGGGTTTCAACTCCCTATTACCATTTTGGTTCTATTCTTTCCCATCCAAACATCACACTTCTTGGAAGAGAAAATGGAAGCAAAATTGAGCACATCTGCTTTCTCTCCATTTTCCTATGTCATCATTCTATTCACTCCAAGAAGTGTGTTCCTTTCCTTTCTTTGATCCCTCTATTTTCATTCATATATATGCAACTTTTTGGTACTCTTAATTTTCTTTGTCATCCTCAACTCATTCTGAACTTTAGTGATCCTAACATTCTCCTTGTAATATGTGACTTTTCTACTCATTCTCCATTACTTGCTCTTGCTGTACATCTTCTGCACATGCCTTTTAAAAATTCATGTTGGTTAATGCAGTCTATGCATATCCATATTGGTCTCTTTAGACAGCTCCCCCTTTTCTCCCTCAGTGTATTCGTCTCTCTTTAGAATTTCATTGTTCAAGGTTGTGTTATATGAATGTAATGGAATACTATTGTGCTATAAGAAATGATGAGCAGGCAGACTTCAGAAAAACCTGGAAAGACTTACTTATATGGTCTGATACAGAGTGAAGTGAGCAGAACCAGGAGAATGTTGCACACAGTAACAGCCACGTTGCGTGATGAATAATATTGATAGACTTATCCCTTCTCAGCAATGCAAGGATCTAAGACATCTCCATAGGCCTCATGATGGAAAATGCTATCCACATCCAAAGAAAGAACTACGGAATTTGAATGCAGATCGAAGCATACTATTTGCTATTTTTTTTCTTCTGTTGTGTTTTGTTTTCTCTTTCTGATGGTTCCTCCTATTGTTCTAATTCTTCCTTACAACATCACTAATGTGAAAATAATTTAATAGGAATGTATATGTATAACCTATATCAGATAGCATGCTGTCTTGGGGAGGGGGAAGGGGAGGGAGAGGGAGAAAAATATAAAACTCAAAAGCTTATGGAAGTGATTGCTGATAAATCAAAATAAATTAATAAAGTCAAAAAAGAAAATAATTTCATTGTTGAGAGTTTTCCATCCCTCCCGGGATGACTTCCTCTGCAGACTTTTAGGCTATGAGACCCTATTTATTCATTCATTCATTTGTTTTTAATTCTTTGAAAGCTATTTTCCAGAAAAGTACATGTCAAACTCTGCCCTGACTTTCTCTCCTTTATCACAGATTCTAAAATAAAATGTTCACTTTCCCATTAAGGTTTTCCTCATTTCTATTCCAGTAACAAGTTCTTATTTTTTTTGGTGAGAATCATGGCAGTCCTCTTCATTGTTCATTCCACCTAACCTAGGATGAAATTAATAAAGCCAAAAAAAATCAGGTGTTCTCTGATAACATATTGGCAGAGATGGAGCTTCAACAGATGTTCAACAGATAGTTGAAGTTCTTCATTGGTACAAATGTCTCTGTGACATATCATTTGAGCTCCAAAACATGTGAATGAAATAATTAGAAGGCTAACCTGTGCAACTTTGTAAATTTTAAAAAAATATTTTAACATGTAAGGTATTATTTTTCTGCCTTCCAAGAAAGGAGATATTTTATTTAAACTGATTTAATTTTACATCCTGGTTCTAGTAAATATTATTTTTAAAATATTCATTTTTGTTGCTGTTGTTTCTATAAAGATATGAGAGAATTCTGTGGCAAGAATTACTGCTGATAAATAAATCTGTTTTAAAAAAATAAAAATATCATGAATCATTAATTTTTAAAAATCATTATTATATTAAAATCATTAATCACACTGATTATAACAAGTAGATGATAATGCTTGTATGAGTTTTTGAAGAAATGTTAATTCTTCCCTTTCTCTTCATTTAATTTTAGGCTAATTTGCGTCAGAAACTCACCCACTCAGTACAAACCAACCTTAGTCACATGAGAAGAGAAAATTCAACACAAGTATACCCATTAAAGTCAAATGGCACACAGACCAAGAGAGAAGATGGTACCAGAGTACCCAGGCCCCAGATTTATATAGCTGGTCTCCGAGGCAGTAATACAGCATCACTCCACACAGTCAAAGTAAACTTAACAAGAGCTGTTGATGAAACCTAATTTGAGAATACATTTTAAAACTCATTATCATACAGTGATTTATAGTAAATATTTAAAGTCTGTTGCACATATATAAAGAGGTAAGTTTTGGGGACATCCATTAATATTATTGTATAATATTCATTAGATTTTCAGCTACATTCATTCACTATAAAACTATGTTACTAGAAATTGTTTTTTCCTGTAACAATGTCATTCTATTAAATTGGAAAGCAAAATTCTTTCTCTGTTTATATATTTTGTTATAAGAAGTGTGTTAGGATTTTTAAGAATAAAATAATGAAAGCATTATTTTGTAATTATTGTAAAATGATTAACAAATTTACAATATTTCAAAGTTGTTTTGTGAATCTCTTAATTTTCATTAGCATTTGTAATACAAGATACAGTAATGTTCAGTTATTAGTTCAACTAGCACCCCCATTAGAAATTGAACTTCTTGAGGGGGGGGGGAATATTTATTACCAACTTACTTTCCTATTTCCAGTCAGTTGCTAAGTCTTTTCAATTCTACCTCCACAACACCTCTCACATCCACTCCCTTTCTTTTCTCCATTCACATGCCCACCACTCTAAGTCAGGCCCTCATCAGAGAATGCTAGGTGGAGTGATGAATAGAGATTAAGTGACAATTTAAGCCCAGGTCACAGAGTGTAAGAGGCACTAAACTATATAGCCTCCTTTATATAAGCTTTATTATTTCCTTCTGATTGATGGGATAATGAAGTCTGTCTGATCATATTAATTTTACAGATAAAGAAACTGAGGCCCATGAACTTTAAATGAACTGCCCAAGGTCATATAGTTATAAGCATCAGAGGCAGATTTTGAACTCAATTCCTTTGACTCTCGAGTCAGTGCCCTTTCCCAAGTACTTTACTATGATGCCTCCCTACTTCTAATGTATTGATTGTTTTATTAATAATGTAAAGTATCCTCACTGGGTTGGGGGGAAATGGAAACCCATCAGAAGAAGAAAAAAGGGCTCTTTAGACCAGCTATAGAACTCAATGATAGTCCTAGATTATTTATTATGTATTTATTATGTAAATAAAAGGTGTTCTATGTTTGATGCCTTCATGGGTGCTGGCACACTGAAGTTTCTGTGTTATACCTAGGTTGGGGCAAATGAGCTAGAGAGAAGTGAGAAGGTTACCAAAGTGATCTTCCATGTCATGAAAGAGACTGACCCAAGGATTCTGACAATACCGATGGCATAGAATTAGAGGCAAAAGAATACTGAACTTAATTTAAGGACCTCTGATTTCACGGGTGTGGATCCTCCCTTCAGCAACAAAAATGGAAAACCCTTAAGGTTTTTAAGAATTAATTTGACTCTAAACATTCATTCCCCCATGACCAAACTAATGATGAATCCGAATTTAGTCTCCCTCTCTCCTTCCTAGATGTTTCTATGTTATACCTAGGTGGGGGTAAATAAGCCAGAGAAGAGTGAGAAGGTTCCCAACTGACTCGATATTATGAGAGCTCCTCTGAACTACGGATTCCAACAATTCCACCTGTCAGTTTGCACAGCCTTCGAAAAACCACTGAAACAGCATTTCTTTAAGTGCCTACTATGTGCAAGGTGGTAATCGCCGGAGATGCCTAAGAGCCATACTGGCTCGGGGGCTTAAGCTCCAAGTTTTATCTCCATGCTATAATAGGCAATTTCGATGGTTAATTCGGTCGGCAAAAACAACTGGAAGAGATTAGTGAACTATAATTTACAGCCTAATCGAACGAAGCGTCTGCAGTTCACTTTTTAAGTAACAAATTCAGAGTTTATACAACAACAGCTTCTACTCCGAATAGATAAGACACCAGCTGATCTTCGGCAGCGGAGACCACCAATTTCCGGAAAGTAAGTCTTTCTGTTATTCTTTTTAAAGAATTTCTAGGGTTTCTGGGAGTTGTAGTTTTGGGGGCAACACCCACCAAAGAAGGCATCTAGGCACGGATATTAACCGGTTGAGGCCGGGGTCGAGCACGAATCCCCGTTTCGGTTCACCCGCCCTAGCCCGCACCTGGGCACGACCGGGTTTTGGCCAAGTCCAAGTCAGCCTCGCGCTGCGGAGGCGAGAGCGTCGCTCTAGGCCGCCGCGTTCGGCTCTCTATGGTCTTCGGGTGCTGGTCCCACAGTGCATTGCGCAGAGCCGGCACCTAGCGGAGCGCGGTTAGAATAACGTCAGTCCGTCTGGGGTTGCTCGGCAGCGATGGCCGCCCCGAGAGGTGAGAGCCCCCGCGGGGACGCGGGCGGGGGGCAGGGAGAGACTCCTGCGGCTGCGGGCCTGGCCGGCGGCGCGTCGAGGCGGTTACCCGGGCCGGCTGACGGCCAGGGCCTCCTTGGAGCTCGCCCCGCCGCCCGCGGGGACAGCGAGGGGCGTCCTCGGGCGCGGGGAGGAAGCGGCCGCTCCTCTGGTCCCCCGCCCTGGGCCGGGGGTGTCGGGGAGCAGGGGCAGTGTGTCCCCGTCTCGCGGGGCGGCGCTGGCGGGACTGTCCGCCCCCTGGGCAGTTTGTCAGGGGTCTGGCAGGCGCTGGCAGGAACGTGGATGCGCTTGCATTAAGCTCAGCCGAGACAGGGACTGGGGGGCCCCCGGACCCCCATTCTCACCTCCCAAGCCGTTGGCACTGGACCGCACAATATGAGGCGGGAGAAGGAGACTGGGGCCAAAAGTCCCGTCCCTCCATTTACTGCCATCTCTTTTATGCCACCCCTTGGGGCAGTCTGGTCTCCCTCTGCTAGTACAGTACAAAGATGTGTTATTTAAAGTATGAAGTTTCTCTACACTTTCCTCTTCACCCTCTCCACCAATTTCAAATAAGGCCAACTTTGAAGTGCATTTTTTTTTTTAGTGAGAGTTGGGAGACATTTCCGTTCTGTCAGCTGTAGGAACTGTTTACATCAGTGTTTTATCACAAAGGTGCTAAGTAGAAACTTAAAAGGCATTTATACAACACACATTTAACAAAGTTCCTATTATGTACATTGAACTGTGCTAGGTCCTGGGGGACAGAGAAGTATAAATAAAACACGATCCCTATCCTCAAGAGGGGGTGTGTGCGTCTGTGTTCACATACATACATATATGTATATATATATATGTATGTATGTATGTGTATATATATGATGAATTAGTATGGGGCAAGGGAGGAAAAAGCAGAGTGCTATGAAATTAAAGGACGGAGAGACCACTGTGATTGGAGGGTATAGAAGGAAGACTTGATGGAAGAGGTGCCTGTTGATCAGAGCTTGGAACTTGGAAGGGTAGGAGTCTATTAAAGAGAAATAGAGTGGGGGAAGAGTTCCTAGTATCATCACTGTGAGCAAAGGTGTTGAGATGGTAAAGCATGGGAAGTGTTGGGGGGGATACTTGCCTAATAAATTTTGGCTGGAGTATAGAGTACATGTATGATGGGGACTAGTCTGGAATCTTACAGGAGAGGCTAGGTCAAGGAGGGAGTAGGTTGTCAAGTGAAGAAGTTTATTCATTTTCAGTTGTGTCCAACTTTTTGAGACCTCATTTGGTACCCTATTTCCTGGCAAAGATACTGGAGTGGTTTGTCATTTCCTTCTCCAGCTAATTTTACAGATGGGGAAAGTGAGGCAAACAGGGTTAAGTGACTTGCCCAGGGTCACACAGCTAGTAAGTGGTCTGGATTTGAATTCAGGTCTTCCTGAGTCCAAGCCCTGCACTCCATCCACCTCACCTCTTAGCTTCTTGATTCATTGAGAGAGAGCCATTGTAAGATCTTGGACAGTGGAGTGGTAATCATAGAAAGATTGCTCTGTCAGTTGTATGTATTGGAAGAGAGGAGATCGGAGGGGTAAGTGCCTTAGCAGTAGTTGAGTGGTAGTACTGGCCGAAAATAGGCCAGCAACAGTGGAAATAGCAGAGAGGGTATTGATCTGAGTACTTTTGTATAAATAGGATTGACTAGTCTTGACCGACTGGCTTAGTAAAATGTATGGGATGAGGGGGAAGTCAGAGATGATTACTGGGTTCTCAATGTGAGAGCTTGGGAGAATTATGGTACAATGTTGAAAGCGAAAAGGAGGGGACTCTGGATGAGTAGCAGGGTTAGGGGGAAAGATGATGAGTGAAATTATAGATATTTTGAGTTTAAAGTGCTAGTGGGTCATATAAGTAGGCAGCTGAAAATGTCAATCCACAGCCTGAGGAGAGAGATCAAATCTGGAGATTTAGATGTGGGAGTCATTTGTTATAAGTTCTCCCTTTTCTCAGATTATATTGTATATACTTATCTTCTAAAGTAGTGATTGCCCTCCCCTAACACTCCCCTCCCCACCAGTGAAATGTAATCATTGTGGGGGCATTTGTTTTGTCTTTTTATTTCCATACCTAGGATAACTTCTGTATAGTAGACACTTTATAGGCACTTGTTAAATGAATGAATGAGTTAGCATCAAACTGGTAGTTGAAGCTGTGGAAGTGGCTGACCACCAACTGAGGTGGTGTTTAGAGAGAAGAGAACTCCAAGTACAAAGGAAAGAGGAGGAAGAGATGACAATGCACGTGGAATAGCAACAGGTAAGAGAGGAGGAAGAGAGTAGAGAATATCTAGTAGTATCAGTAGTGCTGAGAGGACTCAGAAAAGGTTATTGGTAGATTTGGCAGTTTGGTTTTACTGGTGACCTTTGAGCCTTGATTCAGTGTTGTGTTGGCAAAAACTTAAAATTCCTATAGAAGTCATATAGCATTATAACAACTTACAAATAGAGAGTTATTGCTCATAAATATTTGTTGAGCATCCACTGTACACAGCTGGGGTCTGGATGTTACAAAGAGGTAAGTTTTGCTTTTCACATTAGGAATATATTATCCTATGGGAAGACAACAATGTCAATTTAGCTGACTAGGTTATTTTTTAAATTTTACATTATAATCTGTGAATGTAGTAAAAAATTTTCCGAGAATCTATGATCTCATCACTGTGTTTTTGTAACTCATTGATTCTTTCTCATCTAGTATGATTTTTGGCCGTATCCTCCCATAAATCAACAACAAGCTTTGTTTTAATTGTGCCAAGCACTGTGCTTGGGTCTAGGGATATAATACAAAGAATGAAACAATTCTCATTCTCAAGAAGCTTATGTTCTGGGGGGAGGTGAGGAGGAGCAAGTATGTATATAAGTATATACAAAATAAACATAAAGAGATAAATACAAAGTTAAGGAAGACACTGGCCATTGAGGGGAGGAAATCAGGAAAGGCTTCGTATAGTAGTGTTACTTCATCTGTATCTTGAAGGAAGAAAAAGAATTATATGTGGAGGAGGTGAGGTGGGAATATATGAGGAGTGGCTAGTGCAAAGGTGTGGAGATGGGAGATGGTGTGTTGTGTGTGTGAAACAGAAAGAAGGCCGTTGGGCTGGCTTGCACAGAATGAGAGGAAAAGAAGAATGTCCAAGGAGGTTGGAAAGCATAGGTTGAGGCCAGGTAATGAAAGACTTTAAAAGCTAAACAGAAGTTTTTATTTGACTTTAGGGAGAAGAGACAGCTATTGGAATTTATCAAATAGGGGGTCAGATCTGTGCATAAAGAAAATCATTGGGGACTGTGGAGTGTGGGGTAGAATGGGGAAGAAACTTAAGTTAGGGAGGCCAATTAGGGCAGTTTTATGAGGCACTCAGCACAGTGCCTGGCAAATAATAGCTACTTAATACATGTTTATTTATTGATTGTTTATAAGGCCAGAGGTGATGAGGGCCTGAACTAAGGTGGTGGCTTTGTGAGTGGAGAGAAGGGCCAGATTTAAGAAATGTTGTAAACTTAGAAATGGCAAGATGTGGGAACTGATCGGGATATGTGAGATGAGGGAGAATGAGGAGTTGAGGATAATGCTAAGGTTATAACCTGGAAGATTGGAAGAATGATACTTCCTTTGATAGGAATGAGGAAGTTTGGATAAGGGGTAGGTTGAGGGGAAAGAAAATGACTGTTTTGGATGTGTTGAGGTTGGTGTGTTCCAGGATATTTAGTTTAAAATGTTTAGCAGGCAGTTGGTGCTGTGAAACTGAAGCTAAAGGGAGAGGCTGGAGGTGGATATATAGAACTGTGAGTCATCTATATAGAGATGACCATTAAATCTATGGGATCTGATGAGATCACTGAAAAAGGGAGTATTGAGAAAAAGAGAAGAGCAGGTGTGATAAGACTGATGAGCCAGCAGTTGGACTTGATGGCTTCTAATGGAGAAGACTGAGAAAAGACCATCAAATATGGCAGGCAGTTCAGAGATCTTTGGTAACTTTGGAGAGAAAAATTTCAGTTGAGTGATGATAGCAGAAGCCAGATTGCAAAGAATTAAGTGAGAGGAGAGAAAGTAGAGGCAGTGAGAGTAGACTTTTTTTTTTCCCCAGGGAGTTTGGCTGAGAAAAGTAGGAGAGAGATATAGGATAAAAACTTGAATAGATTTGTTGTCTTTCAAGGATGGAGGAGACTTGGGCCTGTTTGAAGGCAGTAATAACAAAGGAACAGGGAAAAGTTGAAGATTTGGGAAAGAGAGGAGCTGATTAAGGTTGCATTTTGTTGGAGAAGATAAGGGGATGGGATCAAGGGCACATGTAGAGGGCAAGGAAAGGGCTACCTCATTATCAGAGACTGGGGGAAAGGAGAGGGTTTGAGATGATCAAGGGCTTTTGAGATAGAGAAGAGGGGAGAAGAAGGAGTTCATGGCTCAGTGGTGATACATTCGTGCAGCAGAGAATGGTTTCAAGTTCTTGGTAAAATAAAAGGCAACATACTCAGCTGAGAAAGAGGGAACCTAGGGAAGTATAGGAAACTGAAGAGAAAGAGAACATTTGGTAGCATCTTTGGGGATCGAGATAGGGAATCCATTAGGGAGAAATTCAAGGATTATTTTCGTACGATGAAGGCCCAGGTGAAGCTGAGTGGTATGAATTTATATTTTTATTCAGTCAGGTTGATTGTATGGCTTCAGTTCTGTTCAGCAGAGTGTGAGTAGGAACAAAAGAAGTAGATGGAGGTAATTTAGTGCTAGGGGTTTGGCAAGGGATGAGTGGTGATCAGGCAAGGGAACAAGGGATCCTAGGATAGATAACAGTGTAGAATTGAATTAGTGAACTAATAAGTAAAGATTGGGAAAGGAGGAATATAAAGTCAGAGCAGGGGTGATTGCCTGAGAAAGCACTGAGAAGTGAAGGGTTTGAATATCTGAAGAGTGAATAAATGGTTTGGGAGGCATGAGGCACAGGGAGAGCTGGGATGAGAGGAAGCTGGAGTTATAGCAGCATAGGTTCAGAACTGAAAGGGACTCAGTGGCCATCTAGCCCAACTCCTTCATTTTACAGAAGAGACAATTTAGTTTTTGGTTAAGGAAGTAGAATACTTGTGGGTGGTGGTGGGTATGACTGTCCCTACTGGTGGCTGAGGTAGAGTGGAGAGGATGGTCATGGGATTTTTAGGAGGTGAAAGATTTGAGAGGTTAGGGAGTTTGAAGGATCCGCCATAAAAAGTCTGCCTGATGTGCTGGAGGCCTTCCTTCTAGGTCTTTTAATATGTTGTGGATGCCATTAGAGTATTTGGGCTGTGCATATGCTATCCTTTTCCTGAGTATACCTCTCTTTGATGATGTGATATCCAAAGAGGTTTCTTCTGTGCATATATTAAAATAGCAGGCACTTCAATGCTTGGTTGTTGATTGAAAAGCAAATAAGATTTCTTGAATAACAGTGAGCTTTGATGATCTTCTGGTTACATCAAGTGAGGCATAGATGATATTCCTCAAAGAGTCCAAATAATAGAGGAATTTCCTGCAGGTTAGGAGGTTTTAACCTTTTTTTGTGCCATAGATCCCTTTGGCAGTATAGTGAAGTCTATGAACCCTTTCTCAGAATAATGTTTTTAAATAAAATAAAATGCATAGGATTACAAAGGGAACTATTATTGAAATACTGTTGTAAAAATATGCCAAGTACAGACAGTTTTTGCTGTACAGAAATTCCCATTATGCAAATTTGACTTTAGGTAAAGAATTATGAAAGAAATCCCCATTCCAAAAAAAACCTATGTTAACTTTACTACACAGTAATGCGCTCGCTCCGTCTGCTCCTGCCTCTCGGCCTTGCACTCCTGGGCCTTCCACCTTTACAACAAAAAAAACTTTTAAAAAAACCTTAAAAAAACCCAAACCCTCCAAGAGAAAGCGGCTTCCCCACCAGATAAGGACTTGGCTTGAGACCCCCAGGGCTGAGATAGGAAACCTTTGCCCCTCTACCTACCCACCCACCTATGTCTCCAGCCCCCTCTGTCTGTCTTCTGTGCTCAAGTGCCATGTGTCTGTCCCTGGCTGCCATGTGTCTGTACCCTTCTGCCTGGCCTCCTTTGATTCTAACCCAACCCTGGAATGTTCTTCCTCCTATTCTTGCTTCTCTGTCCCTGGCCCCTACATGTCCTTGAATGATATGTTGGCCTCCTCCCTCCATGGGTTTGCAACCCCCTACCTGCCTCTGTCCTTCCCTTCCTTCCCCAGCTCAGCAGGCAAACTCTGCATTAATAATTACTTAGGTGGAACAGTCCACTTACTTAAAGTGAGAACTGTCTATATTGCACAGAAGACTAAGGATACAAAGAAGAATTCAAAATTGTCTCTACTCTCAAGGAGCTCACAATATTCAAATAACTATGTACAGGATAAGTGGGAGATAATGAAAAGAGGGAAGGCACTAGCATTAAGGAGGATCCAGAAGGGCTTCTGATAGAAGGTGAGATTTTAGCTAGAACTTAAAGGAAGCCAGGAGGTGGAGATGAGAAGGGCGAGAATTCTGGGCATGGGAGACAGCCAGTGAAAATGTCCAGAGTTGTGAGAAGGAGTGATATACTTGAGGAACATCAGGGAAGCGAGAATCACTGGATTGTAGACTGCTTGGGGGTAATGCATATAAGAGGGTCTAGATTACGTAGGGCTTTGGATACCAAGTAGAGGGTTTTGTGTTTGATTCTGGAGGTAATTGAGAACCACTGGAGTTTATTGAATAGGAAGGTGGCATGGTCAGAGCTGCACTTTAGGAAGATTACTTTGACAGCTGAGTGGAGGATGGATTGTAGTAGGGAAGAAACCTGAGGCAGGGAGACCAACTAGCAGTCTGTTGCAATAGCCTAGGCATGAGGTGATGAGGGCTTGCATCAGCATGGTGGCAGTTTCAGAGGAGAGAAGAATGTGTATATGAGAGTTGTTACAAAGACAGAACTGACGGAACTTGATAAAGTATTGGATATAGGATGTATGAGAGTGAAAAGTCCAGGATGACACCTGGGTTGCAAGCCTGAGTGACCAGGGGGATAGTAGTATGCCATAGAGAGTAATTCAGAAGAGGGGAAAGTTTTTTGGGAAAAGACAACGAGTTTAGTTTTAGATATGTTGAGTTTATGATGTCTATGAGACATCCAGTTCAGGGTTTCTAACGGGCAGTTGGAAATGTGAGACTGGAAGTCAGGATAGAGGTTAGGCACGGCTGGATAAGTAAATTGAGAATCAGTATGGAGATATCTGAATCCATGGGA